AATCCACACACGACACCAACGTGGCTGAGCTCTGAAGTAAGCGGTTGTGTCCACGTCCTCTCCAGTCTTTTTCCTTCATCGCGGGTATTGGGGAAGAGCAGTAGGGCCAGGGTCGATTCTGTGGCCCCGGCGTGGTTCAAGACCACATGTTGGGGCTCACATACCTCTTCCTGCTGTTGAAACCCACGGTCTCATTGCATTGGTGAACAGACAAGATCTTGGCGTTGTGGGTGTCCGATATTTACCCCCAATACGTCGGGTTCTAACTGGTTCCACATTTGACCAACCAGCAGCGACTGCGCCTACCCATCAGTGTCCATTCAGTACCATTTCCCGCTATTTTGCTATTCAACTTCTAGGCCAGTAGCTGTTCGTTCTCCAATCACGCTGGTGAGGCTAGAGGAGAGACGGAGACACCCGTTTGTGGAATGACTCAACAACAGAGGCGTGCTGTTGAGACGATGTGTTCAAACAATGTCGTGTAAATGCATAAATCGGAAATGTACACATCCGCCGGGTGGGAGGGGGGTGGTAACGTGTGAACACACGAACACCTGCTCAAACGTGCTCTCGTGGCCAATTGAGACGTCGAAAAAGGGAGTAGAGTAAAGGCCTAATAAACTATTACTTTGTTGAAATGATGGATTTAACTGGGCATCTGGCGTAACGGTGAACGTGAATTAACAGGATTCACAACAACCTAATCACGTGGTGTGTACGATTGTAAATACGCTCTTGGTCGAAACACGTGCGCAGCTGGTTCGAAATGTGGTAAAATTCTTGAATCAGAGGTCACCTGTGCTGAAGAGGAATGGATGCGAAAGGAAATCGTTTGCTACCATAAAGCGACACTAAGGTTCGATTTTAATAACACGCGTGTGATTGGTACGAAGTGTTTCTGTCGTCTTGTCGAACACGTCATCAGTGATCATCCAAGTGACTCGGTAACTTTTTCTACCTGCTTCTAGTAAGTGTTTGATGGATACGGACGCTCCTGTCGTCGTTATCCTGACACATTCCATATACCCATGGACCATAAATGCGTAGTTCCGTGGTTCCGGTGTTCACTTTGGCCTTCCTCACCCAGAGAAAGATATCACTTCAGAGGAGCTATGGAATCAGTCAACCAGTAGCATTTAGGCACTCAATCGATAAGCGTTGACATTCTGTGGCCCCAGATTTAAATCAACTTCAGCATTTCACAGAGGTTCCAGCTACACTAGAGTTTTCTGTGCAATTCAATCTCCTCTTGTCGCCCGTTATTCTGCTAGCACATTTCAGTCGGGGACCGTCATGTTCACAAGCATCATTGGCCAGTCGAACTTGAATCACGATTCCTCCGTTGTCACGTCGGGAAAGATATCATTACGCCGCTTCTAAACTATGCACGACGTCAATTTAAAGTCTCATTAGAGCTTTTTAGGGGGCATGTTGAAGTATGAAAAAAAATGAAGTCATTTTAAATGACAACAGAACAGGTGGGGCTCACGTAAGCCGAGAATCTCATCGTAAAAACACTAGCTTCAGTCGAATGTTCAACCACAGACGGTCTGTCGTGTTTAAACCCCTAAAATCTCTTGATCGGATTTCGTGAAATGTTCCAGACTTCAGGAAATCGGCAATTTCGCCATAACTTCGTTATTTGGTATCAAAATTTCTTGAGTCAGTCCGAAAGCATGTTAGCGTTGCGTTTCCCTGTTACATTCCTGGTTGAAGATTTACAAATTTTAATGTAGCCGCCATCAGTTGCCGTGGTAAACGAATTGTTTCGATCGATCATAACATGATCCGAAACTAACTAATCGACGTTAGAGCCCAAATTTCTAGCTAACTCCTCATAACCAACTTCAACAATGAAAAATAGCAAAACTTGACAGTTACGTTGGTAATTTTTAAGTTTGTTTCAGCGGAAGTGCGAAGAATGTTACATGTTACCCCCAAAAGATGGTAAGTTTGTTGACCTCGGAAATGTATTTAAACTCTCGAAAATCCTTTTTTGGTTATGCGAAGATGGAGGATATTTCATCAATTATCTAAACAATGTGGAGGGTTATTCACGGTTAACAAGTTGCAGCACTCCATGTTCAAAAACTAGACTACAAAATACAATTATTTTGTCGATTCCTGGGTTTAGGTTGATGGTTATTTGCACCCGTCATGCTGCACTATGAGGCAGAAGTTACCTCCCGTTTGTAACACTTTAAGCTAATGGATGTCGTAAGTTAGGTCATTCAGTGTTTTCTGTCCATGTTGACTGCACAATCATGATACAGGAACACAACTGAGAAAATGTCAAGAATTGCTTTCCGCTGAAAAGCGCCAACGACTTTTGGGGCTGATGAAACTGTCAAAATGCCCACGAAGCACAGTGTCGGGTGGGCCTGTCGTGACAGATGTTTTCGAGGTAATAGGCATGAATGAATCGCATTTAGCAACACAAGAGAGGCGCATGTTTTTTACCTAATTACCAACAAACCACAACCTCCAAGGTTGAAAATGCTCTCCTAACGACGAAGTTGACAGATCCGTGGTGGTTAATCACATCGAGGCTAGTTACGGCAGTGGCGGCCTCACTGTGTCGGTATGTCACTATTCTCTGTGATTCGGTGGTAAAGATTGGTTCGTTGGTAAAACTGTCCTGGTATTTGCTTCAGACTGTGTAGCTGTACACACCTCAACTGATGCTTGAATTCTACAAACCTCTACACACAGAAATGTTGATGGCAAATCAGTTAGAGTCTCTATCCAAGTGAAATTAGCTAAACAGTAACTAGATAGTTTCGAAATCAATGTAAAAGTCCTAGCAAAACCCGGTGTAGTCAAACGAAAAGTTGTCATCAGTTGCCATGGCAACGCTGGACTGCATGTAGCTCAACAGTCACTGCAAAAATTTGGGAGCCTAAACGGGAAACGCTGCGGTACTCCCCGTATTTCATCTAATTTGTCATTGTAAATTTTCTTCTGTTGAGTTCCCTGCAAAATAAGTTGGCTGGCCAGCTATATGATACTGTTTTTGATCTGGCACGAACCTTTGCATTCACATAATCATTGAGGTGAGTCGTGACAAGCTGTACCAAGCCTACCGACTGACGTCATGGTTGCATAGGTGTGGAGTTATATGGCATGGCCACATTCATCTTGTCCACGATAGCGAAGTGCTCTCCAGTGCGACAGTCACGTGATTACTTGGACACCCAAACAGCTACCTTTTCTACTCTGTTTACCTCGCCAGATAAGAATTTTGGTAAACAATCTGGCGATGGCAGGCATGAGTCAGCGTGGTCTGCAGGCGAAGTGGTCACATCATCTCCTTCGAAGCGGTGGGAATGATTTATTTCACCGTAGTAACCCACTAGAATGTTTCAAATTTCCAGAACCGACCTCTAGCCAATTTGAGGGAATTGCTATAATGAAACCCATTTGCTTTGATGCTAATTGTTTGCCATTATCGATCGATCTCCTTTGGTCTTCGCAGCTGAAATTCGCACGGAAGAAAAATCAATACAATTTTCGAAGCAATTTTTTTTTGAAAATTTTGCATCATATCTGGCTTTTCTTGAACCAGTGGCTTCCTTTGCAATGCTCTGGAACTAATTGTAAAGTTCATAAGATGTTGGAGGAGGCGTTCGGATCAGTTTCGACCGTTTTTTAAGCCACGTGCCTTTTTTTAATTAGACGAGCGCGCGGCGTCCAATCACAGGCACTCACCAAGCATCCGCGTTTGAGGTCAGCCTCCACGGGGTTATGAAAAGGGTATCAGTATGTTCCACTTCATTTCTTCGTGATGCACTTGCGAAAACTAACAGCGGCGCTTCTGGCGCTGGCTTGTTTAGCACTCGTCATTTCACTGTCCCTGCCCTACTGGAAATGCGGGAACCTATTTGAGAAGTGTATCGAGGAGGGAAGCGAAAACCTCCATGAAATGATGGCCGTGGGTGCGCTGCTGGCCATTGGCCTGGTGTTGCTCTTCCTGGCATTCCTCCTCGACGTCTTGCTGCTCTGCAGGAGTCAAGCACTGCCTGGAACAATCACCGCCAGATTTCTGTTCATCTACCTCGGCGCTGCGACCACCTTCACCGCAGTTGTCTTGTACACCTTCTTTGAACTCGGACAGTGGGGCTACTTCCTGGCAATTGTTGGCGCTACCATTGCTTTTGTGGTACAGAAACTCGCTATGATGTCGTCTCGATGTGTTACCACGGATGCTTAATAGGAGAGACCAGCACGCTTTCAAATCTTACGGCTTCCCTTTCTAATGTCATCTCTGTTAGACTAAGTAGTGCCATGTAACTCTATTGGCTGCCTCAGTTGAGAATACTTGCGCATTTTTTGTGCCCGAATAAACGTGATGACAGCTAGGTGTTCTTTGGTTTGTTGTGGTGCAAACCGACTAATGTGAACTTTAAATGTTCGTTGACATCCTGGCCTTGAAGAAGGATTTAGCTAGTGTGTTGGTGTTCGTCAATCCGACATTAATTTGCATGCGATACCTCATGAGAAAAATGGCAACCAGCCAGCTTCCATGCATTTCTGCATAAATGTTTTGCGTTTGAAAGTGCAAAAGTCTTGCAGATCCCTGAAAATTATTGAAAGTATGGCGTTGGCGTAGGCGTCTGCTACGCATTGTCGGTTTTGTTAACTTTAAGGTGTGTAAATTAACGGGAATTCATGCAATGTTGCACTTTGAATGCCACAACAAAGCAGACCTTCTGCCTACTTAGATCTGAAATGCCACAATTTCAGTTAGTTCAGTTGTCTTGAGCCGGAACCTGCCTGCTTCTGAATTTCACTCGACTTTACTGGATGATTCTACCTGATTGATTTGCCTGAAGTTTAGTAAGGAGTCATCATCCTAACTAGAAAGTGATAGGAGTTTTAGCTTGGTATTTAGTCCCATGAGAAACTCTATCTGTTTTCTTAATTATACCTTAGCAAATGGCTCAGATCTCCCAAGGGTTTCATTATGAAAAATTCATTAATGACCTTTGAGTGAATTCCACCAAGAGCAGATCTCTCAGACGTGACCTGTAAAAGTACAAAGCGAGATTTCATTTGCAGTACAACATGACGAGCTTAAGCCTTAATAATATTTTCACCGTTGTTAATATCTTGAAGATTGTGGTATGGATAGGAACTGTGAACTTCGGATTGATTGGAAACCCAATTCTTTTACAATTTGTAAGTTTTGATCTCACTTCCACTACATTTGTTCGTACGTAGCCTACCAGGCAGGTATAATTCGGCAGAAAACATTTCATACCAAAATGCAACCCGGTATAAAGCAGAAAATTTCATTTTTACGTGACATAAAAGGGTGCTGCATGAGCCAACCCAAGCTCACTCAGGCGTTTGGGAAAATAACACAACCCCTAAACGCTCATTACAGCCCAAATTGACAAAACTGTGGCTTTGTATTTAACCGGCAAATTTCAGAAACACAAATAGAAAAATTTGAGGGATGAACGTCATTCTTGAGTGAGCAGAACACAGAGGTTGCCAGCATCGAATATTAAAAGTCATTTTAGGTTTCCGACGGACTTAAATCACCACACTTCGTGTGTGCATTTGAGAGCACGTGGGGTGGAGGTGGGGGGTGGGGGGTGGAGTGTGGTGGCCGAGCGAATGATTTGCATGCCGACGTCACCATAGGGTCTTGCAAAAGGCAGACAAGCAAGCCAGTTCATGCACCAGAGTTAATTAACATCGGCTGTGTTGTAACAAACACCTTGGCGTGCTGGTTGCTATGGCAAACAATCGCCGATTGGCAGTCATGCTCTCGATCTCCAAGGCGGCAGACAAGGGACGCGGCCTGCGTTTGGACAAATTTGCAGGCCAAATACGCTCTATTTTGGCTATAACGCAGCTCTCCAACGAATCGTAACTTGCCTGCATTTGTCGTACATAAGCAGATTTAAACAAACGGGTGTCGAAATGTACGCGCACAAGTTCGCGCATGCTGTGACCTTGAGAGTACCTTGGCATTAGCTTCGATGTCCGGTAGTAACATCGTTTAAACTGTATTGCCGACACTGGCCCCCAAGTGGGTAATATTTTTTGTGTATCTAAATAAGCAGTTGTCGAAGAAAACACGCGACAATACCAACAGGGTTAACCTTATTTGTATAAAGCTTAAATTTGTAACGCATTTGTACACAATCAGCGCTGCTATGGCTAAGCATAAAACTTACGAATCGATCTAAACCAACAAACGCTTAGAGAGCCTAGGCGTTACTATCTCCAGCGCATTACTTGCAAAATTTCTCAGAGTGGGCTTTTAGCAAACTATTTTTGAAAGCATTCACAGCTGTTACTATGGTATTATCGCTGGTTTACGGCCATATGCATGACAGTTTAAAGAAAAAAAAGAACACAGGTAACGACGGTATCCTTGGGAAGACATGGACGCAGGCCAATAGGAAGAACTGTTTCGGTTACATAGCACAGTTCGTGGGATCACTTTGAAGGCCAACAGTCCATGAATTTATGAACCAAAAAGCAAAAGCGGTCACAGCCTATTACTGGGTCACGGGAATTGCCAGAGTAAATAGTTGCCGCAGTACAACAAGATCGTACCGTGCTGATCGGCGCAGAACGCGGTAATATGTGAATAACCCGGTTACTAATTATTGGGATTAGAAAAAAAATATTAGTAACCGGGTTACGTAGTGTCAATCTATCGGTCCGATTGTTAATGCCAGTATTTCGCGTAAGTGGAATGCATTCAGACAAGCCATCCGGCTCAGTTTTGGCAAATTGGCATTTTGACGAAAACCTGCCGCGTGATTTTACCAAAAATAGCATCTCGTTTAGTCGTGCGTAAAGCGAAGCATCAGTTGTTTCGGGGCATCAAACAGAAGCCTTTATAAATAGCTCACAGCTTCCAACTTCTTGGTACAAGACGGGAGTGCACGTTCAAAGAGACTGGAGATTCAAATCAGGAAATTGTCAATACAAAAGTACAGCATGGTATTTCATATTTATGTCGGGCTTACATGATTTTTTTGCCTGCATACATCAGATGTAACCCAATCACAATGTCCAAATCACTAACGAAGACCACAAAGCATTTGCATATCTGTTGTGGCTTGGATTCGTATACGTTTTTTCAGACGAATTTGTCGCATTTCAAAAGTCCCTTTCGTAAGCTGTTAGAAGTTCACGCCAGGAGCCCAATATGTGTTAGGTGATTGCAAAAGGCCACATTGAATCCAACACATTTTCAAAACGGCACCTTTTAATCAATAATGACTTCCCCTATAATCGTCAGCGTCTTACAAGATCTCCAAGTCCTTGTTTGTAGGATATACGTGATTACTTTCTGGACATCGGATCTTTTGGTATTTAAATTATTTTGCGTGGAAAGGAACGGACGAACATCTGAAGAATTTGCCACTTCTCAACTCTTCATGTTCTCAGTGTCTCTTGACGAGGCGAAAGGTGGTATCTTTTGAAAATTGTAGGAGAATGTGCTAAATTTACTACGGTTCTAACTCTGGCAATCTTCAGTTACCATCGATTGCGCCTCAACGGTTGTCAAATTTCGCGAACAAAACGACTACCAACCAGAACTGCTGTTTCGTGTACGGTTAAGCCCTCAAACTGCAAGGTTTACACGAAGCTTTCAATCGCTTTTCCCTCGATAGGCCTTGGCCGAGGCTGAACGTGACTTATGTGTTTATCACCTCAGATGTACTGACTGACACGCACACACACACACGTGCGTAAACCATGAAGACATATACTGCGTGCGCCCCTGGATTGGTGTGGTCGAAAGTACGAAGTTGGACTTGCGTGTCTCTAATTGATATCTTCCGCAGGAGTCGGGCATTTCATTGGTTGTCGGCACACGTGTTAAATTGTGACCCTACAACGCATCACTACGTTACACTCTCGGACACCACAAATTGTAAATAAAGGTTTTTTTCCCATTCACTAAGGCGTTGACAGCACTTTTAAATAGTAAATCACATTAAGTTTTTGTTTTTTCAGTAGATGAGAAATCGTGAGAACCCATTTGGACTCGAAAACACGGAATTTTGTTTATTTACACTTAGCCAAGATTGGAAATTAGTTGTTGGCAAGGCCAAACTCGATGTGTGGCCAAAGGAGACCTTTTAAAGTTCATTAATCACACCCATTTGAAAACAGACGAATTATCAACATGCTAGTTTAAAACATTCAGTGGTCGGTGCCTGATCAGTGGGCTACCGGTTTTACGTTAAGGTGGCAACTTCAAGTTAAAATAACGAGAAAACATCTGTTGCATGTGGGTCTTTTTCCGCAAGAAATGACCAGCTTGCCTGTCCCACAAAAATCGTTTTTTTAAAGCTCCTGTTCAGCTGCAACTACTAATTACAGTGGAAAGGTCGTTTGGATCCTGTTGTGAGAAATTCCACCGATGTTTCGCGCTTCGACAGAACACATCCAGTCTCTTTGAATAAAGCCGTCATTTTTAGCTTGAAAATGCTATTATTTTTTGTCTGAATTAAACAGGACAGGCGCTAAAAAGATATCAAAGTGTGTCGGCCAATAATTCTGATCGTGAAAATCCATTAGGATGATGATCACCTGAATGCGATCCCACTGGACGCTTCAGGGTCGTTTTCGTCCACAAAATAAGGCCAAATTTGCATGAGAAATGAACCATAGGTAGTTATTTTATGAAGCAGAACGCAGGATACAAGAAGAGACTATCGACCGGAATTCGTCAAGCTACAGAATTGCAGGAGTGATCACCGATTCCTGAGCAGTGTATGTGCCATTTTTTTCAAAAACGACAATCTAGCATCGTCCGAGTTGATTTTTTGTAGCACTGAATCAAATCCATGAATGAGCAAGTCACATGCACGAACTGTATGTGGAGTTGGACGTGAGTTTGCAACCGTCTTTTCTAAAAGTACTTTTGAAAATTCACACTGGGAATCTGGCCGCATCACGTGACAAGCCTGCCTATCCCGCGGCTCCCCGATTCACACGTTGGCATTATTAGTTTGATCTGTGGACCTGTGTTAATTAATACCTTAAATGAGATGGCAGTGACGTTGTTTTACCAAACCCTTGTCCGATGCAAATTTCAATCCAAAAACGCTCTCTCCAGTCCCTTTGAGACAGTTGAAGTTGTTTTATACTTCAGACAAAGACTAAATTCGCACAAAGTGAGTTCGCGGGATTTTCGAAACCCCAATTTCCTAATACAACATTTGCATAAAT